CACACACCACACACAACACACACAACAACGACACAACGCCGCACGACACACAACACGCCGCACGACACACACACGCCGCACGCATCACACACACGCCCACGCACGACACACACCGCGCGCACGCACACACACACGACCGCAACGCCGCACGCACACACACGCCGCACGCACAGACACACGCCGCACGCCGCACGGCACACACACACACGCTCCGCGACGCACGCACGACACACACGCCGCACGCACACCCCACACACCACGTCGCACACACACCACACGCCGCACACGACACACACGACAACACACACACACACACACACACACACACACCACACACACACAGCACACACACACACACACACACACACACACACACACAACACACACACCATTCACACACACACATCACACACATACATACAGCACACACTTTCTCTCACTTCTTCCCAGCAGGTGGGACATTGTGATAGGCCGGAAATGGTAGATGTGCGAGTATGTGCCTGCCCCACAAGAGACATTCGCAACTGATGAAATGCTGCCCAGAAACAAGGGGCAAGCGCAAGTGTTCTGCCATGCCTCAATTAGTGAGCAATGTTTGAATTTCATTTTCTGATATTTTATTTTTAATTCGAATTTTATAATTTACTGAGATTGTTTGATTATTGGGTTCATTTTTTTTTTTTTTTTCTTTTTTTTTATTTATACCACATGGCATTCACTAATCTTGTAGGTAGGTTTTCTCTCATGATTTTCACTATACTCAAAGATGATTTATTTTTTTTTTTTTTTTTTTTTAATGTTCTTTGTTTCTTTTTTTGCTATTTATATATTTATATATTTTTTTATTCGTATATATATATATTTTTTTTTCTTATATATGTTTTTTTTTTTTTTTTTTTTATGATTAAAACCATGTTTGTCATGCATTAAAGTGATGATAATATAATTATTGTATAAAAAAAAAAAAGCCAGTCTCATTTGAAAAGAGGTTGATATTTCATTTGTTTCCATCCAATATTTAACAACTTTCTTCCTCCCTTTCCCAGTCTCCTCATCTGACCAAGAAGAAGTTTCGTGCTGTAGAACCCAAGATAGAGCCAAAGGAGGAAAGTGATGAGACATTCACAATAACAGTAAGTTGGAAGCATATTCATACTGTGAAGTACTCTAGGATGGAAACCCACTGACAGTAGTCTTAATTCGATGGTTGTGGAAGACATGATATGCATACCATGTGTATGGTATTTGAATTCATTAATTGTATTTAGACATTGTTAGCTTTTGGTCCATATTAACAATGAATAACAAGAGCTGTCACTATATTAGTTGTACCTATTTCACATTTATCATTTTCCTTGATTTTCAAAAAGATTCCCTTTTATTTCTTGTTGCTAGTGGTTTAATAACATCATAATAATCATAAGGTTAATAATAATACTAGTATTCTTATTAATAGCATCAGGAAAAAATTGACTCCCTGGTGTCTGAGCACTTGTAGAGACACCTTTATGCAACAAAATTGTTATGTTGTGAGAGGTCCTTGGATAGGCACACACATTGTCAGGCAAGGTGTAGGGGAGCATTGGTCACATGAGTTCAGTCCACATCAGTTATATTTGAGGAGGCAAGCTTCTCATGGGCTTTGAATAATGTTTCTACCAATTTTTATTGATCACGTGTCATTATTAATTAGGTCAGCTACTAGCTGATGACAATTTGAGCTTGAAAAGAAACAAGTACTTGTATGTAGATAATGAGGAAGATTTTATTCACTCAAGTAGGCTAGGTATTTCACACTGCGTGCCTATGTTTATTTTTTGCCGGGATTGCATGGGACTCATGTACTCCACACAGCCTATAGATGATTTTTCATATTTATTTATTTAAATTTATTTATTTATTTATTTTTTTTACTGTATAAGATTGATATGAAAGACTTGGGTGATTATGTGAGAAATGGACACGATTCCCAATTTAGGAAGGTGTGTCAATGATTTTTTTCTTCTACCATACTTTGTTTCCATATGAATAGTAATTGTAATTAGGAGAATTTGAACGACGCTTTCAAAGATCTGTGTCGGGTCTTATTTTTCATGGCCCTTGTGTTGCAGCAGGGGTGGTAGTACTGATACTTCTTCCCTGGATTAAGGGCAAGTATATGGCCATTATGTGGAGAGCATCACTGACACCAACTGGAAGGCACTGGGGTGGTAGAAACCCACATGCTCCTCTTCTGATGCTGGCATGGTTGTGTCAGGAACTTGACTATAACTTTCAGCCTGAAATCAAGCTGGGTCATCATACTGCCATACTCCTGATGTACTGTCTAAGCACATATTGCAGCCAAATCCAGCAGGTTGAAAAATTCTTATGGCACCATGTTTGATATTTTCATGACCAGATATAACTGTGCAGTTCTATCACAGAAGTCCTCAGCTTTCATTTCGTTGTAATCAACCAGGAAACCATGGTTGTAGTCAACCAGTTTTGGTATAGAATGTCCCTCATCAGTTGGGCAGCAGCTCAACAGTGTGATGACAGTGGATAGTAGATGAGGTTAACTGTCCTTTTCCTTTTGGCACTTGAGTGTTAATTGTCTTATAAGTAAATATCTGTGTTGACATAATGATGAGATTTGTAGACCAATCTAAGTGTACAGTTTCTCAATAGTTGTTTCCTGCCATTACTTCATGTGAGAAGAAGATGAAGGGGGATGTTGGTGGGTGTAATGGTTCATCTCCTCAACCGGTGCCCAGAGCTCAAGCATGAGGAAACAGTCTAGGGTTTCCGACTGTGTTGAGGCTGCATCCAAGTGATCAACCTTGACCCCAGGGCTGGCAGCAAATGCGAAGTGTTGTGTGTTCTGCCATTTCTTCCACCGGAAGCTTGTCCCCAAGGCATTCCTCTAAAAATCTACCTAGACTGCATCCATCCACTGCTTCACAGTTGCCTTCCCCCTTCCTCCACAATAACCTTACTCTCTCCACTCAGGCCTACAGTAACTTCTCAAAATGCTGTCAAAGAATTAGTGGGTAATTGTCAACATCTTCAGATGTGTTGTCTAAAACACTGTGACTGGCATATCTGCCAACACCTGGCATCTGGCACCTTCCCATGCTGTTGGCATAGTCTGACACCCAGCATATTCAGCTGTATATCATACTTTTATACTTTTTACATTCATTTGCATAAAATCAGACAGGAACAGTGCAGTTGGTTCAGTGAGATAAAGCAGCAGAAATGAAAGATTGAGTAGTGGAGGTGGCTGTTTGGAAGTGTGCTTAATACATTTACTCATTTAGAGAGGTGCCAAAAGGCTCTTTCATGGTTAGCTCAGTGAGATTTTTTTAGGGGGTGGGGTGTAGTTCGAAGAAGCTTGCCATTCAGTACCACAAATATGCTGTTATCAGTTCTACCTGCCCTTGACAGATAAAAAGGGAGAAACAGCCTTCCCATATGTGAGACATTATGCTCAATTGAGTAAAAGTCAGAATATATAATATATACATTCAATAGTTTCTTTTCAATACTGTATACATGTTTGATTCTCTCTCTCCTCTCTCTTCTCTCTCTCTCTCTCTCTCTCTCTCTCTCTCTCTCTCTCTCTCTCTTCCTTATCATTTCTTTTCTTCCTTTCTCTGTTTGAATCCATGAGGAGAATTTGAGGCGTGCTTTGCCTCCACTTCGGGGAATGTGCACAGCTGGCTAGGCTTGCCTCCTAAACCTATTTCAGACTAAGCTGGTGTAATGCACGTGCCACGCCAACAAAATGACATGATTTCTTAACCATTGGATGTGGATGTTACACTCCTATCACTTGGCCCAAAATGCAGGTATCAGGCTTACTTGAGTGACCACTCTGACAGGTATGCGGTTTGTAGGTTGGGTGCACATGGACACTCATATACGGTGACAAGACTGCATGCCTCCCTTTTGCAATGTTATTATTATCCCCCCCCCCCCATTTTTCTAATGTCCATTATTTGATTTATTTTATCGAGATGGTAATAGACTGTTTCCCACAACTTCAGTATTTACCTCTCTTTTTTTTTTCATTCTTCAAGAAAGGCACAATGGCAGAGTGCCATACAATAATCTAAATTGTTAACATGATGAGAGTGATTACATAAACCCAAGTGAAGGTTACAGATTCACAGCAGTAGCTGAGGGTACCTTATAAGGAACAGCATAAATTTTATGCATGTATTCTAGTACCTGATCATAAATAACCCATCCTCCTTGGCCACAACGAAGATGTCCATGACGGGAATTAAGTGTCATCTGGAGCCACGACTAAGTCGGCCATGACTTGAACAGCACAACATCCAGAGGCAATAAGTTTTTTGTTTTTACACATGTGAATGGCTTCACAAGTGCTTAATCACAATAGAGCCAACTACTAGTCCTATGTAACGCCCGTTTTTGGAAAGATTATTATTAGTATTTTTTTTTTTTTTTACAAATACCTGTCAGCATTGGTTTAGATTTAAGAATCAGCATATAGAATTGATGACACACTATCTTTTTTTATTATTCATTTTTTTTTACAAGTAATATTAGTTGATAAACACACAATTAATTTGTTCCAACTATTAGAAAATGTTTGTTAATTTGTGTAGTTAATGACCTCTAGGCTGGGATACCTGCGAGTGACCAGTTTCCTCTTCACTGGTGCTTTTATCTTACATTACCAGTCTGTCAACTGAATTCATGGCCTTATGTTACACAGCTTGGCTCGAGTTGGAATCTAAGGTATAATAGGGTATTGGAATGAGTAGGTATGTCTTTGTTGTATCACATATCTAGCATAGTGGAGATAGTAAATTTGTGGATGAAAGGATATATTCATCTCATTTCCCACCTCTGAATGCAGTCATCATAGGTAGGGGCTAGGTCTGGCAATGGCCAAGTGATTTGATGTGAAAAGGTAAGCCCTGTGTTTATATGTGCTGGCAGTATTAGGTGTTATTTAGTGACTTTATGATGGGATATTAGGTGTT